ACAAATTTACATCATGTTCCAAGAAAATACATACATGCAATCTTGACAATACAATACAACACGTGCTACAACATTTACTCATCATTTATTTTTCCAGAAATTTAATCTTCAATATAGACACTGCTTCTGACAGGAAGAGGAAAAGTCTTTGATGCCACCTCATCACCAAGATGTTTCAGAATGATCTATCCCTGCGTGCAAAGTTTACCCCCGGAGGCATTGCGCATTATTTTTTGGGTTTTTCTCTAAAGTAAGTATTGTGAACCAACTATCAGGCATTGCATTGCCTAACAATGCTTGACGGTTTTATTTGAAACTGTCAAGTATTTGTTCACAATACTTGTACTTAAAATGACCGTCAAGCATTCTTTTGCCAATTTTTACCTCATCTTTTTTGACATTTATTTTTGCAGCAGTCAAGTATTTGGCTTTAAATATTCATTAATATGTAGTAATTTCTCTTCCTTGGAATCCAAGCTTTATGCACCATAAAGGTAATTTATTAGTAGTATTACATTATTTAAAGTATGAGCTTGCACATTGTATTCATGTATTTTGAAAAAGGTTCACACTTGAGATTGGTTGTGGTCCCATTACATGCTTAGTTTTCTTTACCCAGATGTTGTAACCACAAACATTGTTAAAGCCGTGTTTGGTGTACTGAAAGGAAGGTAATCAGGGAATTCGAAAAAAAGGTTGATTTTTATTTTTTAATGCAGCGTTCATTATATCTTTATTGTTGTTACTAAACACTGCTTATCCCTTATTATTATTATTATTGTTGTTGTTTAAATGAGAGTGTAGGTATCATTTTGCATTTATTTTTCATTCTTTTTCAATACCTGACATTTTGCTTTCTAACTTTACAAATTTGAAGGCTAACTCTGGATATTGTTCTGAAATAGGCATTCACTTGTTGGAAGGCAGAAATTAAAGAGTGGACGTCTAGCTATCCATCTCCAGCATCTTTCAAATCGTCCACAAATCCTTATAATCTCTTGTGATCTTGGTTGTGAATCTGATGATGAGCCAGTTGACAAAGGCTACTTTGAGACTGTGAAGTGGAAAAATTTTTCACACATCTGCGCAGCACCAGTTGTTCCCTTTGATAATGAGGCCCCGGGAACTGTAACAAAGGCTACTTTAAACCCTTCAAGCACGTGAAAAGGAGAAAAGTCTTTACTTGAGGCTTGGATTTTCCTTGGTGGAACCTGTAGAAATGTACAAATCAGAATGGGATTCCAGAAAACTCTGGTTTATTCTGACTCCCTGGACGCCTTTAACATGCTCACAAGAGACTATGTAACAGATCACTCCATGAGTAATGCAGTCCGAGAGATTAGAAACCTCCTACTGCAAAACGGAGAGACAGAGCTTAGACATACGCGCAGAGAAAACCTACGGTGTGCAGACTTCCTTGCACGAAAGGGACACGCAAGTTCGGAGGAGCTGATCTTAATTCCAAAAGTACCAAGTGGATGCTCGCACGTGTTCTCAGAAGACCTTCAGAGAGACCAACAACCGTCTCACCTGGCTCTCTGCGTTGTTTTTGTAATTTTATTTTTTCTTGTGCAAGACTCTATCAAGCCTAGGCTTGCCCCCTTTTTCCCCCAAAAAAAAAAAGAAAAAAAGAATGGGATGTATCTCAAAAGAGGAGTCAACTGCAGCCTAGTGGTCTCTTAATTTACGACCCTTTTATTATTAAATTTTATATAAAATAAGTGACATTTTGATATCTTATCAACAAAAAATAGTGTATTTTTTTTAATGATTTCTCAAAGAATTAAATATTAAATCCTTGAAAAATTGTAAAACAGATTTAAAATTGAACGATTTTTTTTTTTTTTGCCCATAAAAAGAAACTAAAAAAATCGGGAAATTCCCCGGAATTCGAAGGGCCAAGAAGACACACCCTGATATTGGGTGGTCATTGGAGCCAAACTTTGTAGAGAGGGAAGCAAACATTTTGGTCCTTCAGTTGCAGGATATGATTCCTTCTTTTGTAATGAATACCTGCATGAACAAAAATTTTGCATTTTTGTATTCTATTGAAGTTTGTTAGTTTTCGCTTGGTGCTGCCAATAGGCTTCCTTATGAATCATGTGGTTGTTGCCATGTTGGGTCACATTGGAAATTTAGCAACTTGACACCATTAGAGAAGGAGAAATGCTAATCCATAAGTGACTATGCCCATATCACAATTACTACAAATACCTCTATCTGAGTTCCCCTTGCTTTAAAATAAGCTGCAACACCTACTTATTGGGTCCTTGGCTGAGATTGTGTTGAAGTGATTTTAATTATTTTGAATTTAGTTCTGTTTTTGGTTATGAAAACAGAGGTGAACAGAGCATATCAATGTGTGTTTGTTTTCTTTGGACTCCCAAAACCTCCCTGCTTTTGAACTCATTACCAAGCCTATATAGCATGAACCGTAAACAAACCCACAACTTTGAAGCTTTTTTCAACGCATGCTATCCATTTCCTTCTTGCCACCATGATCACTCCCAACAAACATCCCAATGGCTTCTACTTCCTCATATGTATCTATGAAGCTTCTCTCTTGATCTTATTATCTTACTCTGGAAAACATTTGTGTACGATTTTTGCAAAGGGAGAAAAAGCAACCAGCACAGGAGAAGGAGTAAAGGTTTGAAGCAAACATAAATGTCACAGCAGCAGGAAACACAGTCATAGGGCTTCACATTCGTCTGCTTCCAAATCTTAGAAATATAAGGACTAACGTTCCAGGGGGACAAAAGTTAAAAGGACCAAAAAGCACGCTCTAAAATTTTAGGGACTGAAGTTAAAATAAAAAGAAACTATAAGCACACTAATGATTATATTAACCCAAAATTATAAGAAAAATTATAAGCACACTAAGGATTATATTAACCCAAAACCATAACAAAACAAAAGACATAGCGTACAATCTTGTGGCAATGTGTATGGGTAAACAGTAAAAATACTAATGATTATATAGCATGAACCGTAACCAAACCCACAACTCTGAATATCAATCTATTACCAACTGAGCAACTTCCCACTCTTTCTTCTATAACTACTTGGCAACTTTTTCAAGCCAAACCTTAATCTCTCTGGCTCTGATTCGACATTCTTGAATACAAACAGCTTCAAACAACATTTATTATAATCCTTCGCGTCCAAAAGACAACAGGAAAATAAGGATGTGAACCGCTTTGTTTCAATTCATGCTATCCATTTCCTTCTTGCTACCATGATCACTCCCAACAAACATCCCAATGGCTTCTTCTTCCTCGTGTATATCCATGAAGCTTCTCTCTTGTTCTTATTATCTTCCTCTGGAAAACATTTGTGTACAATTTTTGCCAAGGTAGAAAAAGCTGTAAGACAGATTCACAATACAAATAAATAAAATAATAAAGAAATGTGAATCTTTTCATAAAATAATACAGCGGAAGAATCTTCATATACCTCTTGCCATTTGTCTTATCTTGAATGATCTCAGGATCTGAGACAAGGGAATAAAGCTGCAAAAGAGAACAACAGTTAGAAGAAAAGGGTTGCTCAGGTCTCTTCTAACTGGAATAGGGCACAGTGATAGTAACTGGATCAGCCGTCACCAGTCAGGGAACCTCAAGGAAGCGGATAGGTCACTCTTAAAACTACCGCTCTCAGAATATTCAGCCGTCAACTCAATTGTTACGTGTCTCACCATCAGAGAGTTAACAACACATATATGAACTGAAAAGCTTAACCCTACTGGGCTTGGGCCTTGTTTGACTGAAAGGGCCACACTCAGAGTATTTTATTAATTTCCTAATATATATATCTAAATAATAATTATAATAAAATATCTAACATTCTCCCACTTGGCCCTTATACGTATGTCAATTGTCGTGCCTCAGTAAGCTAAGGCTATACTGCAAGAATCATGGCGACAAGTCCCCTTAAGTCGGGTATTATCTTCCATGCATCACAGGCAGCATCCTTACTTAATGGGTATACCTTTATGAACAAACTCAATTTTTGTTCGGTTCCTACTTTATGTTTATCAACCTCGAAAACACATATGTATATCCAATCATAACCAGAGATGACAAATCATAAATTCCATTGCTCATACCTCAACTAATCAATCAGACGACGAAGTCCCATGTGAGGCACGTGTGAAACAAAGTCATTCGGTTTCAACCCTTTAGTCAAAGGATCAGCTAGCATTTCCTTTGTACTGATGTATTCAACCGAAATTTGGTCATCCATAACCCTTTCTTTCAAGCATAGGAATTTCAATTCAACGAACTTACTTCGACTCTTATTCCTCTTGTTGTTGGCTATGGGCCACTGTAGCAGTGTTATCACAGTACATTCTGACCGGCCTAGAAATCGAATCAACAATCTTAAGCCTAGCAATGAAATTCTTTATCTAGATTTCTTGTGAACTTGTCTCAGAACACGCAATGTACTCAGCATCACCAATAAAAGGAGCTGTTAGAGTTTGTTTCGTACTCTTCCATGATATGGCTCCTTCTGCTAGTAGGAAGATATAACCAGTCGTAGACTTATTTGTGTCCAAACATCCTCCCAAATCAGAGTCTAAGTAACAAGTCACTTCTACATTCTCTGTCCTCTTATATGTAAGCATGTAGTGTTTAGTCCCTTGTAGGTATCTAAACACTTTGTTTGCAGCTGTCCAATGTGTCTCACCAAGATTACTTTGGTACCTTCCCAGCATGCCCACAACAAAAGCTATATCAGGTCTAGTGCAAACCTGTGCATACATTAAACTTCCTACTGCTGAGGCATATGAGATCTTTTCCATTTGCTTTTTCTTGAGCTCGGTTTTAGGACATTGATTTAGACTAAATTTGTCTTCTTTCTCTAAAGGAGTCACGTTGGTTGAACAGTTCTTCATCCGAAATCGTTCAAGAACTTTGTTTATATAGGTTTCTTGAGACAGGCCTAAAAGACCTTGAGTCCTATCCCTATGGATCTTAATGCCAATGACATAAGATGCCTCACCCATATCTTTCATAGTCAATTTCAGTGAAGTACACAACGTAGTCACTAGGCAATGCCGGCTTTCTCTCTCTAGTTGACCTTCTCAGTTCAACTTCTTGAGTCGGCTGAGGTTGCTCATCAGGAACATCCTCTGTCACATTCTGTGATGGTTCTACTTCTATGACAGGTTGGTCAGCTTGCATATATTCTTGATGTCTAGCATCATCAACTTGAGTTATGGGATCCACATCATGTTGTATGACAGCTCTAACTAAAGAAGAGTCATTGACAATTGATGTTCCCTCACCATTTGTGCTATTGGTCTCTTCTATGTGATCAATTCCTATCTGATGACTCCCACTAATCACATCATTCTTAAGAAACTTAGCATTCCTAGATTCCACAAACCGTTTTGAAGGAGGCGGATAGTAAAAATTTTAACCCTTAAACTTTTCTGCATAGCCTATAAAGTAGGCCCTAATAGTCTTAGGGTCCAATTTCTTTTCCTATGAGTTGTACACTCTTACTTCTGCAGGACAGCCCTATACCCTTAAATGATTCAAACTGGGTTTCCAACCTTTCCAGATTTCAAAGGGTGTTTTAGGCACTACCTTTGTTGGAACCCTGTTTAGAATGTATACAGCTGTCTTGAGTGCTTCTTTCCATAGAGAAATTGGAAGTTTGGAGCTACTCATCATGCTCGTAACCATGTCCAGCAAGGTTCTATTTCTTCTTTCAGCTACACCATTCATGTCTAGTGAGCCACGTATGGTATATTGAGCAACTATACCTTGCTCTCAAAGAAATTCTGCAAAAGGACCAAGTGCTTGTCCTTCATTAGTATACCTACCATAGTATTCACCACCTCTATCAGATCTTACAATCTTAATTGGTTTCCCGATTTGTTTTTCTACCTCTGCTTTATATTCCTTAAAGGCATTTAGTGCCTCACTTTTATTATAAAGCAAATAGATATACGTGTAGCGCGAGTAATCATCGATAAAGGTAATAAAATACTTTTGACCGTGTGCGGTTAAATTAGGGCAGCAAATGTCGGTATGTATAATCTCAAGCAATTCAGAACTTCTTTTAGCTCCTTTTTGTGACTTGGTAGTCCGCTTTCCCCTTATGCAGTCCACGCAAGAATCAAATTTTGAATGGTTTAAGGGTAGAAGTATTTCCTCCTTAATTAACCTTTTGATTCTATCATTGGAGATATGTCCCAATCTCCTATACCACAAGCTAATAGAATTCTCATTTATGACACTTCATTTAATACCATGCGAAATATTAAAAGATTGAATAGGATCACGAATAATTTTAAATAAATTATCAATCATTGCAATGTCTGCAATCTTAATATGATGTCTGTTCAAAAACATAGAGCCCTTCTCAAGACATAAACCATAATCCAACGGAATTAATTTTGAAATAGAAATTAAGTTCCTCATGTATGTTGTAATATAAAAAGTCTCAAAAAGGTTTACATGAGTATTATTCAAAAAAATACGATAAGTCCCAACCAACTCCGCACGGTCTGGGTTCTTGCTGCCTGATAGAACCCATTCCTCACTCGGACGTGGTGGCCTGCTTGTTAAGAAGCCCTGTATGGTTGTGGAAATGTGGATCATTCAACCAGTATCAATCCACCAAGTGTCATCATCAACATTAATAGCATGAGATTCTAAGGTAACATGAGAAGTAAACATACCTTTACGTTCAAGCCATGCCTTCCTCTTGGAGTACTCATTCTTCATGTGCCCCTTCTTCTTGTAGAAGAAGCATTTGGCATCCTTCTTATTTGAGGCAGTGGTAGGAGGGATTCTTCTATTTCTTTTCTCCTTGTCATCCTTATTTCCCTTCCTACTACCACCCCTATTGGAGCTTTCTCCTAGATGAACTTCCTTAGGTGTACCCTTTCCACTCATCAACAGCCTAGTTTCTTCTTGCATGCACATGGACAGTAATTCATCAACTGACCATTTCTCCCTATGTGTGTTGTAAGATACTTTAAAGGCATCAAACTGAGGAGGAAGGGAGTTTAGGATTAACTGCACCAGGAATTGCTCAGTAGGCTCCATATCGAAGGATTTCAACTGAGAGGATAAATCTCTCATCTTCATTATATGCTGTGTAGTACTGCCTATACCTGTAAGCCTCATGGCACATAATTCCGACATAATGGTGCCCCACATCTGCTTGTCTGTCGGTTTGAACTGTTTGTCCACAGCTTCCAGGTATTCTTTAGCAATTTCGCATTTAGGGATTGCTCCCCGAATGCTCCTAGCAATCCTTGTTTTGATCAGCAGGAGAGTAAGGCAATTGTTTTTCTCCCAGGATTCATAATACTCTTTGGCCTCTTTGTTAGTCAAGCCATCAGGTGGTTTGGGAGGCCTTTTAGTTTCCAGGACATAGTCCATGTTCAGACAACCGAGATGTAAAGCAATGTCTTCCCTCCAATCAGGGTAGTTAGTACTGTCAAGTATAATTTTGTTACTAGCATGAACAACAATGTTAGGGATAGTAAATGCAGCTGCAATATTAGAGAATCAGTCAAACTTCCAAATAAATAGAGACAATCACAATAACTGTGTCATGTATGCTTAAAACATTAATAAAGCATACAATTATAAATACGTATCACTAAGTTCTCCCTGTGGGCAAAGAAATTAGCATAGCATGTATTTATCTCATATTGATGGAACTAGAACGCATTTATATTTCCTAATACCTGTGAGCTACTTAGAAAATACAAGGCAATTCTATCCCACCCTAATTAAATATACATTGATAATTATCTACCTGTGGGCAAAGACCGATTATAAATGCATATTTAATTACAATTGATATTTTATAAGTCTATTATGTGATTTATATCGCATGCAATAAATAAAGGATATTGTGGCTACTCCTTAAAGAAGCATGCTAATCAGAAATATCATACAAGTGCATTTAAGTCCAGTATATGCACATCTCAATGGAGAATTTAAGCAATTAATTTAATTAACAAGTAAATAACTGAACTAAATTTTCCCACTATTTTTATGCATCCAAATAATTGTTTAAACATTAACCTCAGCATATTTCATCTCAAAATAAACATCGCAAAATTTAAGTAAATAACCAAATTGCCCGAAATTTAGTATCCAATCATTTAGGCAAACAAACAATTTTACAACAAACAAGTTTGCAAATTTACACAAGATGTGAAATAGCTAAGATTAACTTTTATCTTTATTTAAACAATTCAAATATTTGCATAAAAATAAATTACATGTTAAAACTATTTTCAAATAAATAAATAACTTGCAATTAATTATTTATTTAACATGACCTGATTCTGGAAAAAATAAATGGGCTAAACAGAATTTAAACAAAACAGGCCCCAAAAGAACATTCTAAAATAACAAAATAGTTGTTCAGGCCCAAAACAGAAGTCCAGGAACCAAACAATGACCAAAAATTGATTTCTATGCCAAAAAAAGCAAGCCCAAGATACACAATACGGCCCAGATAACAAACAGAGAGGAAAAAAAAATCTTAATTATGTACAAAAAGCCCAATTCGAGGCCCAAACGGTTTCTGTAATGTCACCGTGCGAACCCCTTTTTTTATAATTAAAAAAACAGATTGGCCCAGACAGAATAAGTCCAGACCTCTCAAAAAGTAAAAACAAAAAAAAAATCGAAAGCCCAAATCTATTCGGCCCAAAGCACAGAATTAAACAAAACAAACATTTTTTTTTATATAAAGCCCAGACCACAGCCCAAAATGGGTCGGCCCAAATTCTTTATAAGTGAAACGGTGAGTTTCACTTCAGGCCGAAACGACACCGTTTTAAAAACAAACAAGGAAGGCTTCTTAATGCAAAACGGCGGCGTTTTATGGCATTGGTCTCCATCCACATGGAGTCGGGTTAGGTTAACCCGACTCCTGACCTAGTTCAGACCCGTTTCGTAGCCCCTTGCAGCCGCCAGTGCCAACCATGGTTTCCGGCGGCTCTGGTCCGTTTTTCAGCGTTAAAAGCACAATTTTCCGCCCAAAAGACGCCATTTTTCTCTGTTTCTGAGGGTGCAATTTGTAAAACCCTTAACCTCAAAACATTATAGCTCATCACAAAATCACTACTATAGTAGAAAAGAAAATGTGTTAAAATGAACTTCCATAGTAGAAAGAAATTGCATAACTTTAGAAATCAACATTTAAACTCGGTTCCAACTCAAAGTCTGTTGCATGCAACTGAAATCATTCATTCATATCCACTGGGCCACCGAGCCTCCAGCCCGGGTAACAACATACATCAAAATCAGCCCATCCAATTAGTTTTCAACCATTTAACAAAGTTTCATAAAACAACAGAAATGGCCTCCGGCCAACTAAAACGAGGAGATAATATATTCTCCAATTTACAATAAGGCCGGGTAATCAAAATATTTCAAAAAGCAGTCCTAAATGTGGCAATATATACTAGCCATACATATACAAGTGCTAGAGGCCTAAAGCTAACCAAGCTCAAGCCTCTGCGTCTCTTCCCAATGACCCACGCCCGGAACCTTCACCTGAAAACATTGTAAACCACGGGGTAAGACAAACGTCCCAGTAACTAATCTTTCCAATTCAAGGTACTACTCAATAGGTGCTCGTGAGGTGTCAAGTGGGGCAGTTCACAAATAATATAATAATTGATAGCCACAACAAGTCATACAAGTGCAATGATGCAATCCCATCAACCATATCCCTCACTTTGGGGGATTTTCAGGAGTCGAAGCCGGCCTATCCCTCACTATCATAAAAGGCCTATCCCTCACTCTGGGGGACGTAAGGAGCCAAAAGGCCTATCCCTCACTATGGGGAACGTACTGAGCCAACCATCATGCATTAATGGAGGCCTTACCATGTGGTAGTAACTATCAAAAACTCTCACCAATTCCCAATTCATGCATCATGCTCAAACCATAATCAAATAGTAATTGAACATTTCATAAGTAACTCCATTCAGTGGCATATCCTTCATAATTTCAAGATTTCATTCATCATCAATCGAAACCCCACAAGACGGTTTTCCTTTTTATACACAACATACACTTTGAACATAATTACTACTTGGAGCACAAAACATAAATCTACTCACAATACCACAGAAGCAAGTACTAAGGATTGGAAAGTGGTTACCTCTCGCCTGAGCAAGGAACAACAAACCAATAATGTGGCCCCGTGCACCAACAAGACTCACAACCGGTCTACACAAACACACAACCACCATGTATTAGCTTTCAAACTAATAATGTGGCCAAAACAACATTTGGGGACACAAAATTCCTAGCTCCAATCAAAACTCTATCCAACTCAAAGGGTATAACTATCAAGGCAACACTCCATGGTCATACCAATCCATTAAAACCTTAATTCCTTTCCAAACATCAATTAAAATTCATAACCTCAAGGACCCACTATAGGAATTCACACCCAAACATCCCATTTGAACTATTGAAGTTCTGACAACAATCTAAACCGATTAAACATCCAATTTAACCCTCCTTAACATAACCCAATTCACAAAACTCAGAATCAACCTCTACATTGTCATCCTCAATCACATACCTCCCAATCTCATAAACCCTAGCTTCAAAAACTCAAGATTTTTCAAATCCAAGAAAACTACACCGATTAAATACTTAAACTAACCCAAAGCAAACAATTAAACTCAAAACAATCGGTCAAAAACCTCAGTTCCATCACAATCTAGAAAATC